TGAATCTTAAATTAGCAAATAGAATACCGCTGGCCTCCTCCTCCTTGCTTCAAACTCAGATGTAATAATCTTCCTCAGTGGCCTGCGACGCGCAGAAGAACATCGTCTGGAGAATTACCCGCTTTCACGTAAAAGCATCACTTCTGCTACTTTCTATTCAAAGCATTTTCAAATTGGCAGATGCTTTGGCTGGGTTGTGTTGATTTTACGTTTAAATGTGGAATAACTGCAGCAGGGACACGAAGTCTATTACAGCTGTCTCTCAAGATCCGCGATTACACACATGTCATTGGGAAGTTGATGAACGATCAAAAGAAGCGGTTGCGCACCAATGCGAAATTCCGAGCTTTGGCTTCCCTCGGCTCCTCCCTAAGACTTGTGAGGGACATGCCATGAAGACAAGAGACCACATCGTCATGGAAAGATGCAACCAAAAAACTATCAGTAAATTACGCATGGAATATCTCTCTGAATTCTTCGCTTAACGTCCAAGGTTTCATTGAAGATTTTCTGCATCAAGCTGTGATTAATTCCATGATAAGTGCAACCCAGCCACCCAGAAAAGTGTTCTAGAGGAGTATCCCAAACGAAACAAAGATGTACGCCGATTACTTGATTACTTGTAATCAGACAGTTTAGCATTTTAGAAAACGGTGCTTTTCTAGTCTACGTTAAGTCAAACTAAATGTCGGATATCTGCATGGTAGGACCACATCCAGTGTTCAAGTTGTTGACTTTCCTAACCTGGCACTCGCAACACTCGTCATGAAGTCAAGCATCGCAGATCTCCTCGGTCAGATTGTTTGGCCTGTGATTAGAAAGACTTTGCAGTTTTACGTTGACGATGGTGCAGAGTTTGTGAGAAAGAGGTAAAGAAGTAAGAATCGGAATGAGTTCTTAGATATGTGACTGCAGCTAGCTAGATTTGTTGCGCCCAATCTGTCGTCTCTGCTGATTTTCGTCTGAACAGGGTGCTCGGTACAATTTGTGAAACAATCAGAACAATTTATGTGCTTTTTCTTGAACTGCTGTCAGGAGTGACAGATTATGTGATTCAAAAGCAGCGTAATTGTCTGCTGGAAATTCTATGCGAATGGGAGTTAATTACAAAAGGATTGATCTAGAGTCTGCAGTAGTAGAGGTCCACAAGTTCTTACATGTGCGCACGCTGAGATCAGGTACGGGAAAGTACACAATTTGAGACATTTCGCTTGCTGAAGCTAGGGAATTCTAGGCAATTCTTTCTAATCGTCGGGCCCGGCAAGGCGGTGCCGACTTGCAGAAAGGGCAGCAGACCTGTTAGTGGTGGCAAGATTGACGATGTGGTGAGGTTTGAACCGGTGAACAGTCTGTTATCTAAGCACCACGAACTTATTATGCTTTTTCTGTATTCAGGCTCATTCATTTTTAGTGTGCAAATTTAACAAAATTATCCGATCCAACTGGACTCACAGAAAGTCAAAACAAGAAAATGTGTGAAATTATTCGAGAGACGTCTTTAGTCTCCACTATAGCACTTCGAGTAAATCTCTTCTTCAGCACTGCCCACTTCAGTAAGTTGCAGGAGGTCATCGACCACCACTTACTGCAGCATTGCGCTATCCTTAAACCCTTCCCGGTAGAAGATCTAGGAAGCCACTCCAGGTTAAAGGAGGTATTGTTCAGGCGAAGATTATGTTGTGAACTTCTGGCTGGGAATTGCAACTGCAGCCGAATTGGAGCAGGGAAGAAATGTGTCCTGAATCCATGTTGTCTTCAAATTCTCTAAAGTATATGGCCTGCCCAAGGGAAGAAATGTGTCCTGAGTCCATGTTGTCTTCAAATTTTCTAAACTAACTTTTACTAGTAGATGGCCTGCCCAAGTAAAATACGATCTGATGCCAAGCTGTGTTCCCAATGTCCATTCCGCCTTCCTTTTTCGAATCGAAATCACCATAATGAGACAAAGGCGTCGGAAATGATTTAGACGGAGGAACAAATCCATCGTTTTTGTGACTGGGTGTTATTGACTTTTTGGCTACTCTACTACAAGGATAGTCCAGGGAGCGAACTGATACCGAACATGGTCGGGAAAATACGGCTCATGAACAATTCAAAACTGTGACGATGGTCCGCAGACGTATGGAAAATACGATTCATGTACCATTCTAAACCGTGGCAATCTTCTTCATAGTGTTTATGAAAACAGGTCCTCCGACTCGTGCAGATTGCGCCCGGCCAACTAGAGTTGTATATGAGTTAGCACCACTTTGAAAACAACTGTATAAAGTGAACTCAGCTGCTGGACTATGACTCGTTCCTGGAGTTTTTTCCATTGCCGGGCATCTCCGAGCACCATGTGACGCAAGGTGGTAGAGTTATCTGTACACTGAATAGAGTCATAAGGCCTGCGAAATTCGTTCGCATGCCGTATGGACTCTGGGAGCAATCCGAGAGGATGCAACAGAGCAACATGCGTCCTGGTCGTGGAGACATCGGGGAGCGGTCACGAAGGGGCCTCCGTGAGCTCCTCGGCTGGATTCTCTTCTTCCTCCGCTGCCTTCTGTACTGGCACCTCCACGGCCTCTTTCAGGTCAGTTTCTGCGATTGAGATACTGCTCACGGCGTTGGAAGCGCCATTCCGTGACGAATTCGCCTGCACGGAACCTCCAGAGCGAGAGATGTTCAGCTGTACAGATTCATGTGATGAAGGCACGCGTAATGCAGGAGAGCCATGGGTAAGGCGAACGGTGGAATTTGAGCAGGATGCTATGCCTGAAACGGGAACTGCTTTGGAAGACCATGTACGACGTGAAGCTAACGTCGCACCGCCGCAGCTGCTGCCCACGAGCTAGGCAGCCATCGTTATTTCTCCAAATGCTTCGCTCCGTGATTGAATCCAGCGTCTGCCTCCAAGCTGGTGATGACCATCTCGATCTCGCCCTTCCAAAAAAAGTATTCCTGTTTACACATTATATCGTTACCATATCGTCACAGAATCTTATGGAACAAAAGCTCGACGAGAAGGCGCAAAATGCGCCTCGGAGGTGGAAAATATGAAACAGTCAATTGAACTGTACAGGATCCCGCAGATCAGGTCGAATTAAGAAGGGGGAAGCCGAATATTGTGAGCATTGGTCGTGACATTCGAAAAGTACTCATTCGACTCCCGGACGCAGCGAATCTCTCGAGCCACAGCCAATCGAAGCACGTCGTAGAATCGCCTCAGGAAGCCAGGCCAGTAGGGTTGGAGGCACAGCATCAAAGGGCATGCACCAGCGCGAGTGCATGCTTCGTTTGCATGTCGTAGAATCGCCTCAGGAAGCCAGGCCAGTAGGGTTGGAGGCACAGCATCAAAGGGCATGCACCAGCGCGAGTGCATGCTTCGTTTGCATTCTTCCGTAAGTATATCTAGAATATTTCAACAATTTTATTTCTAAGAATGTTTTATTTTCGTAGAAGTACATCTCTAAATACGCTAAATGTATGTAGTGTAATACGGGTATGGCCTGCCTCAAAATATTTTCCTATTACTCCAATCCTATAGGCCAGGCACGGATACTCGGCGACGACTGCGTTCGAGAATTCTCTTGTTTTGCTCGCTGGTGTGTGGATCAAAGGATCCCTCCCGTCATCCTCCCGAAACTCCGAGCCCGCATTCCCCGCCGTCTCCGACTACAGTTGGCAGACTGGGGACGAGGGCGACGTGGAGGTTCGCTGGGGACCCTAGTATCCTTCGCGAAGGAGGCCGCTGGTACTCGCTCCAGTTAGAATTGAAAGCACAGCAAAATATTTTGAGTCATGCCCATGTTCAGTTTCAAGGTCAAAAGGCATGGTCCATTCACTTATTACACTATGTACATTTAGCATATTCAGAAATATACTTCTCAGTATTCAGAAATATATTTATAAATAAATAAAAAAAATTTAGAAATAATATTTTTAACAAAATTTAGATATAAATATTAATTTGTTTGATATTTAATTTTTCCTTGCAGACATGCCTGTATGGAAAAATGCAAGCGAGACTCGCCCTGGGCATGCCCTTTGAGGTCGTGCCTCCAGCCCTAGTGACACCTGGGACGAGGTAAAAATGCCCACCTTCGCTTGTCGACAGTGGACTGCGCCTTCGTGTTTTACCCTGATGCTCGCTCGTGTCCTGCCGTCTTCGTGGAGGGCGCGAGATCGGCAACGGGTCGCTTTTCGGACACCACGCGTGCACTCGCTACCAGCGATCAATGGGTCCGTCTGCTGCCGATGCCACACGATGTGCCCTGTCTTGTTCCTCTGCCACAGCTCGGCCATATCCTTCCCAATTTTGGAGCAACGTATGAAAGTGAGGCTTAGGCTGGGTATCCCATAGCTCCCCCAAAGTTCTGCTTCACGGCGCCAAGTGACAGAGAGACTTCCAATTGTTTGCCTTCTTAAACTATCTCGTTTAGTCCCAACTCACAGAATTGGTTATGTTGAATCACCTCGAAATTGTACTTTACCCGACCGTGAATGGTGACTAGCCTTGGAAGACACCATTTCCGCACAGCTTGAGTAACTAGTTTGTCTTAATGATCTTGTTTGCAGTCCATCAAATTGGATAGTTTCTTTCGTAAAGCTCAAGAGTAGCCCTACGTGGGCTACGTGGACCGCGACGACATAGACAGTGGTGAGGCAATCTGTGTAGTACTGAGGACAGATCGTACTGATGTGACTGAGAGCGTTGCTTCGTCGCGTTGTGGATCTGAGGAGTATCTGTATGTCAGACATCTGTAAAATTGTTTTCGTCTACCTCGACAACCTGTTACCTGTCATATCTCGACAAGCCTCAGGTCTAAGATATATATCCAAGATCCTGAGACGATAATAGACGACTCCCATATAGATGCCAGACAAGAACTAGCCGCTCTCTACTGCCTGGAAGTGCACTGAGCTTATCTCGTCTCATGTAAAAGTTGTACAGGACAACAGAGTATTCAACAGAGAACTCAGAGAAACTCTTCCTCACAATCGAGCACTCCAAGGAAAATAATCTTCACAATCAATGTAAACTTTACTGAAGAAATCTGGCGCAGCTGACATCACAAACAGACGCCGCCAACCAAAGTGGGTGTGGCGAATTTCTCCTACATGCGGTCGTTCGGGACTAAGCTGCGAACTAGAAAACATGAAGGGGAACCTCCCGGAACCTTCCTCAGGAACCCAGCAACTCGACTCACAAGTGAATTAAAGTGGAAACGAAACCGTATTATTATAATCCTGGACTAGGATTGCACAATGAAAGTACTGATATGAATCCGATCAGCAACCAGCTCTTTGTTTTGTTCACACAGTGTTTCTTCAATTGGACAGAGCCTAGGGATAAGTAGATCATCGTTCTCCAAACGCTGAGTGATATCTCGTGGTCGTATGAAAAGCTCTTCCGGCCCAGTAACTTTATTTTCCCCTTCTGTCTGCGTCCGACTGCCATGTGAAATTCATGCTGCCTCGTCTGCTGTTATCTGCTTCAGTTTCTGCAGAGCTGCACGTCCAGCACAATGCAACATTCCCACTGTAAGGTAATTGTGTGAAGCTAGAGAAGTACCGAAAACCAAAACAAAGCAAAGACAGCATAGGTTCGAAAGTTCTGAAAATATCACGTCCCATTGCATTGGTCCGAAGCAGCTATACGATTGAGTACAATATCAGACACAGGTGGTTATCTAGACAGAGCTGCCTTCAGCCCAGAAAGAAAACCACACCCTGTGTGAGACGCGTACCTTCAGTGTAAGACTCATAAAGCTCCTCGGTGACAGATGACGGCAGTGAATAATCCTGGCACTTGCTATTGTCGACTTTCTTCAACATCTGTTTGAAGTGTCGTACCTGCGCAAACATCCCCAGGTTTACAGATCAACACACATAGCGGGTTAGATGACTGGAGGCCGTTATGCACAACCGGAAAAACAAACACAACAAGACGATGGTCTGCGCTGAATAAGCCAGAGCAACATGGGAGGAAGCGGATACAGCGCTATTGAACTTGTTACATGGAATGTAGATCAAACTACTTTGTGGTTTATGCATGTTCAGAAAGCGAACCTCCTCCTTCCGAAGAAGAGTATAAGAGCTCCCGGGCTGTCCGGCTCGAGCAGTGCGCCCAACACGATGGACGTAGGTCTTTGCGTACACAGGCATATCATAATTGACAACGTTTGCAACACCTTCCACATCCATACCCCTTGTCATCGCATCTGAGGCAATGAGCACTTGTGCCTGGCCATTCCGGAATTTTGCCAACGCTTTACTGTAAAGCATGATATAGAGGCAAGTCATCAGGATTATTGAAGCCAGCTACGAATGTCGGATAACAAACGAACGGAACCGACTTGGATATTCATCCCAAGATCAATAAATCAGAAGAAAGAGGAAATAACCTGCGACTTAGAGGTCTGTATGTTTAAAAATATACTTATTAGTTATTTGGTCTACAAACCCCATCAAGAGCACACACGTCTTGGACAAAACTGCGGGGTTGTTGATGCTGCAAGCTTGAGTACTCAACCACCTTGACAATCCTTAGTAGCATTTTAGCAGAGTATATAGTCGATGAGTAGCCACTACAGAAGCAGTGAAAACAGTGGTTGTTTGCAGCAAAGCTGTTGTAAGAGTGCTACCATATATAAGGGCTTCTCTCCCGGTTTGCAGACCTGCAAAGATGTTCAGGACAACAATTTCTGTTACGGATCATGCGATGCAGGTTTGAACAAACACAGGCTCCAAGGCTACGTGAACTAAATTGAGTCAGCAACAAGTTATGGTGGCAACGTGTGTGAACAGAGATACGAACCATCCTGTAAGACTTAAGTTGTTCTGGTAGTTGATACCGGTTGCCAGCAGCACCAGGCGCCACATATATGGGGCAGAGAAGACCAAGTTGTGCAAATTTTGCTGGATCTCTCGTCAAGGTAGCCGATAACACCATCTTCATCAATCGTGGGAGTGCAGTGCCTCTATTTCCTCTTTCACCACGGAAAAAACTCACGAGAAATTGTAGGTGCTGAAGAGTGAACCCTTTCGTATTTCGAATATGGTCCATCAAGCGCCCTGGAGTTGCAACAAGTATGTCATCCTGGTTTTCGGCAAGGTCGGGAGTTGCAGCGTCAAATTTTCCAAAACTGTGGACCATCGACTAACGAATCTGAAACAATTCAGCCGCTTCAGCTACAATTGACGTTTGTCCCACAGCTAGTCCCACTGAGAGACCAACTGCTGGTGCGATGGTGTCAAAGACTGCTTTAACCTGAAGAAACGCGATTACGAAGGTTGAAGGCCTTAAGAGAAGCTTGAGCGGATATATAGGAACTGGAAAGCCAGCCAAATATGGGTACTAGAGGTTACATAACAATAAAAGCCATCGATTAAAGTAGCGCTAACTACCTGGTTTTAACGATCTTGAAATGTCCTGTACAGAAAATGAGCAGAATCTTTGAAGCACGTGAACAAGGAAGTCCAAACTTTGATACATCAGCATGGATCTCCTTTCTATCTCATAGTTGTACAATCAAATAGTAAACATAGACCCGAAATAGGAGAGATTCTCAACATAAAGACCATCCAAACTACATTTCAAAAGAACCTCACCTGCGCAGCTAGATCCCTGGTCGGGAGCACTACGAGAACTCGAAGAAGACGAATCACCCGAGACGATACCTTTTGGACGATGGGTAATGCGTAAGATAGTGTTTTGCCACTGCCTGTTGGCGAGCTGACACAGACGTCTCGCTCGCTTAAACCAGGGCCCACAGTCTCGTGCCACACGGCCATCTGTACCGGAAACAACGACTGTATTCCTGCCTTCGAAAGCATCTTGAAGTCTGCAATGTAACTCGAAACGCACCAAGAGAAACGCATCGGCTGGACATCGAGACAAACTTCAAGTGCTGGGCAGATAGAAGATGATTACAAACGGACGGACGGCAAGGCTACCTGGTGTCCAAGCCAGGCACTTGTCTCAGGGAGGTGGCCTTGTAGGTATCTATATCAAGCGGATCACGCATCCATGGCAACACCGGCCCGTGGTCTTGCGACTCTGCTGGAACCAAATTAACATCACGACCCATGATTCTATCCACATCCCTCTCAATTGTGGAAATTCAGGTTCATTCCGAGAAGTATCGTCCGCTCCGAGTGCATTCAACTCGTCAGTGTTCTCTGTAATTACATGCTCCTCATCCTCATCCGGAACCCCTAGGGACTTACTGTTAGGCTCCTCTTCATTGATTTGTTTCCAAGGGCCACCATCTGCAATCACATCCACCTTTTCAGACAAATTGTGAACTTATGCATCTCTTTCTCGATCACCGGTTGAGGATATGAATGAATAAAGATAATACTGAGACTGTGCAAAAATGACTTACTTCTCCAGATACGCCTCTTGCGTTAACCAGTTCATCACTTGGTTCCAGATTGCCCCCTCTTCGTATCTTCAACCTCTTTTCTTTCTTTCGTTTCTTCTCCCATTTGGACACTTGAAATTCAACCAGCTCCGGGACACTTCTGTCGATGTCGGCTGCATAATTCTCTTCCGCTCGCTCTATATTATCTTCACTTGTTAAAGTATCGTTCACCTTCCTTTCCTGTTCTTCCGTTCCAGGAGAAGCAGGAGCTTCCAGAGGAAATACATGTTCTTCAGTCGTATCCGAGACTTTCAGCTTCTTGAGCTTTTTGACCTTTATAGCAGAATCAGGAGCTTCCTGGTCAATCAAGGTTGCCAATTCTGCCTTGTGTTTCTGATGTTGCTATCGCTTTTTTCGCCCAGTATGAGGTTCAATTTCGCTCACTGCATTAGATTCTTCCTCAACCACAACCTCTGAGGCTCCCTCCTTGCTTTCATCTCTACTCAGTGCAGGATCAGAATCCTTGTTCGAGACTTTCTCCCTGTCACCTGGAGAAGAACCTTCCGCTTTCTCTCTAAGCGGAAGCAGAGCAGCCCGCTCCCGAGCTCTGGCATTCAAACGATCTAATAGTAATGGAGATCCACGCTTCCGACTTTCTCCCAGCCAGCGCTCCACCTGAAACATCGTTGCCCCCTAAACAGCAGGCAAGAATTTAATCTTCAGGGCAAAATTGCTCGCGCACATCTAGACGAACCATGTGAGAAGAAAACTGAACCCTTCTCACGAATCTCTATCACACAGACGTCCCATACTCTTCTGCGCCAAGCTCCGCAAAATGTCCGCACGTGGAGCACATGAATAATCTGATGTCTACTTCACTGACAATTTCGAGACGTGATCCGAGCGTAATCCGAGCGAAATCGGAAAAAAAGCAGCAACGACATGTTTTCAGATTTCAGAGAGGCGTTGACTGCATCCCTGACACAGGCTCGGGGTTTAGGGTTTAGTTTACAAAGTTCGAAGAAAACGCTACACAAAGGTTAGACATTAACCCCAGCGTGGTAAGTTAAACAAGGTAGCCTAATTAGTGTATGCGTAAATTCCATTCTTCAGATTAAGAGTATTTAAAAAGCGGCGATGATTGAGGGTTAGGGTATCAGACTATATGATCACAAGAATTCGAAACGCACAATTAGTTTGCAGTAGGTCTTGGAGAATCAACGCAGCTGTATGTCATAACTTGTAAAAAATCTGATATTTCATGGATCAAAGATGAATTATTATATATTTGATTGGTGATCATTATTGAACTCGAATTAGTTCACGTCTGAGTTAATTGTCATTATTCGTCGCTTCAGCTCTCCACAATAATCGCTTAATTCCTCGTTTTTTGTGCGCGCTAATATGTTTTAGAGTCAGTTAAAAAATCAAGCCGGCACTATTCGATGTATCCACACTAATTTCTCGCTTGGTCCCTAAAGTTCTCTCTTCCCAATCAATCTGGCAGTCTATAATTGCAAAAAAGAGTACAGTCAAGATGGTTATGCGGGCGATGAGGTTTGTGTCCAGATAAACTACAGAAACTATGAAGAAGTGTTTCGTACCAAAATTGATACGTAGAAGTAGTCTAATTGTAGTTGCAGTTGAAAGTGTGAAAATATACGTCGAAAGGAAGCAAAGGCGCAACTCGAGCAGAGTCGACAACTTAGAAGAACCTTTGCGCGGTCTCTTTCGATCATCGTGGAGTCCAGGGCCGTTTGACTACGCTGCTCTGGAGGTCGAGAAGCGGACGAAAGCTCCGCCGCTACGCCTCTAACCGCGGCTAAATCTGGAGGCGGACACGGGAGCGCCCGGATAGACGGCGAGGCCGACGGGCTCTGACAGGACATCGGAGCACGAAAGTGGGAGCTCTTGGCGGGCGGTGGATCTCCGGGTATCGGAGGAAACGGGCGATCTCTTGGCGGGCGGTGGATATCGGAGGTTCCGGTTATCGGAGGAAAGCCTGGAGGAGTACGATACGGGCGACCGCATTGGTGAGCCGAGTGCAGTTCGGAAGTGATGGCCGATGTTCGTGGAAGCTTCGAATTTAGCAGGAGGAGCGCGGCAGGCGGTTTGGAAAATGATCATTGTAAGAAGAACCTTTCTGCGCGGTCTCTTTCGATCATCGTGGAGTCCAGGGCCCCGGCTCGTCGTAGAACCTACTGTTGGGATGTGACGCGGAGCGAGCGAGAGGCGGAGGTGGAAGGTGGGAATCATTCCCACGTTTTTGTCGATGTGGGAATTTCCGCATTTGCGCATTTCCGCAATTCCGCAGTTGCGAGTTTACCTGCGAGGGTGCATGGTTCCGGGCACGCAGAGGGGAAGGGGTCTTGGCAGTTCGATCCATGAGCGATGGGACTTCGCATCCAAATCACCTCCTCCTGCTGCTGGTCCGCTGCAGGAGCAGGGAAGGGCCGTCCCGGCTCCTTCTCCGTCTAAACGCCACGTAATTCAGGGGACAGGCCTAATAATTTCGGAAAACTGATTTGTGCCTGTCCTTCTCGTCCACCGCAAGCGTAGTCATGCCTCGCCCTCGCCTGTCCAGTCCGGTGCCTCCGTTCTATATCCATTTTACTGTCAATTATGCGATGGATCCGATCCGTTTGGAGGTTATTTGTCGCGGCGTGCACCTTCCGGAATTACGCGTGTAGCATAGGCCAACCGCTGTCAAATAAGGCTGAAGATTTTAGTCTGTTTGCAAGAACTGGCAGGCATTTGATTCTCGATCCTCGGATCGATCGAACGACCTAGAAACCCCACTGTCTTTTTGCAACCCCATTGTCTTTTGGTCGTTACCCGTTCATCGCCTTAACTTACTTTTGCAGATAATCTTCGTGGGAGAATGTTGTATGGTCCTGCTGAAAGATTTTTCCGAGTCTACCTAACAACTGCATGAACGAGATCTAGATTACCGCTACTGGATACACAAATCTGGATGGAATGATCAACAGTATGTGCGCCTCTGTAGAAATTCAGATCTCGGGAGCCCATTATCATCTTGTGCCATGATCAAAGACTCGGAGTGATGCTTGAGTAGATTCCTTGGTCCACCACCAGATCTACAGCATCAACAAGCTCATGGCCAAGGCAAAGCCTCCTTTCATATGAAAAGTGAGGGCTTCTCAAACGACATGAAACTCTCATGGCTAACGTTATTGGTCCTCTAATTTCAGACGATTATTTGAGTGAATCGTTGGATGTCGCGCAAATCTAGGCAGAGAAACTTTTTCTCTTCTTCCAGAGGCAGGTGGATCCGAAAAGATACATCGTCCTTACGTGGAACATGATTTTCTTTCTCTATGCGAGCACCACATGAAGAAAGGAAAGCACGAACCGCTCGATTGGTGCGGGCTAATGCGAATAAGTCAATTCGAGCTCGTATTTCTACGAGCTTGAATTGTTTTATTCGTCGAGCTTCCGGAGTCCAACTCGCTTGCGTAAATTCATCACGATGAAGTTTCCTACTTTCTGAGCTTTGTTTGACCAGGTTTTGGGTTAACGGCCATTCACCATAATTTTTATGCTTTTTCCAGTGCCTTGCGAAAGGAATATTATGCTTGGCGTCGAAGATTTGCAAGGTACGCGTCTGGTTTGAAAGGCTAGCTGACAACACCACTCTGATACAACTTTTAGGTTATGACATTCGAGTTCCAAAAGTCAGACGTTTGATTGGGCATCTACTGAGTTTACACTGAACGTTTGATTTTATTGATCTGTATGCATTCACGGTTATATGAAGCTCAGATCACAAGCAGTTGCTGTAAAGACAACCAAAATTCACTTTGGCTTTTCTCATCCGAATAAGGCTGGATATTTTTAAGACATCAAATTATTCTTTTCCGGAGGTTAGTAAAGAGGTTAAGCTGCACTGACTGCTTCTGGGTCAACCTACAACAAGTCCAGATCCAATGCAAAGTTGCAAACTGTTTTCGCTCTCTCTCCGTCCGACTCTGCTCTCATGCACAAGGAGGAGAGAGAAGCGGCGAGAACGGCAAGATCGGCAAGATCTTTTTGGGAAACGCACTCCTAGAGCCTATTGATCTTGTATGTTGCAGTCTAGGGGCCAAGCAGCTTTTTGGGTGATAACTTTACACGGCTGACTGTCATTGACACTGGAACAGATCTTCAGCCATCTCTTGCTTTCACGAGTGGTGAATTCATTTAAATTTACTGTTTCACCTCCGTTCATTCCGATTTCTGATGTTTCTGATATTTCGTTCTTGCATGTAAAATATTCGAGCTACTCACTACCACACTTAACAGTATAATGGATCCACTTACACTTGGTCACCACTGAGGCTGGTGCTGGTAAGAAAAAGATGTTGCTATTTCAGAGATCACATTACCTCTGGAATATGTTCACAAACTTCCCAATCGAAAGCGTTTGAATAGGTCCACTAGACATATGAAGAAAAGAGTGTGGACCATCTCACATGATCAAAGTTCGGTCCACTTTGTACCTTTACATAGATCCCACCCTTTAATTGACTGACTGTTGGATGCAATGTGCCACCCATCTCGATTCCACGCACCATGCATTACAGACTCAATCTTTTTTCGTTATAAAGTTCAACTTTCATACTTCCTAACAAATCAAGATTTTTAACAAACCTTTTGTTCGGTTTATGATCTGTATCAAATGCCTTATGTACTTTTGCAACGGGGTTTGAATCTAAGATGCTTCCCTATACTCTTGAAAGAATATTATTAAAGATAGCCTCACTTCTTGCCTTGCTTGATGGTTGAAGTCAAAATAGATGCGATTACAATGGGTGACTATGTGAAGAAATGGTATCATACCTCAGGAGTGATGTACTTGTGTTGAAATGCAGGAGCAAAAGAGAGAAAAATTGGATAATATATAGGTGAACATTCTATAACAAGTATCTGTAGACGAATCTAAAGGTTGTGTATACTCTAAGAACCTAGTCTTGTCTTTTACTATCATCATACGGGACACAAAAAGGATGATTTTGTGGAAATGAACTCCACGTGAATGTAACTGAAAGATCGTACTTCTTAAAATAAAAAATAATGTTTTATTTAGTGGTATGGAAATTTCAAAGATCCAAAAGTCGACACACATCCGGATGATCCAGTTTTATACATGTATGAAAGAGTATGAATGTTCACTCGAGAAAATGGAGAAGTAACTGAAAACTTGAAGATTTGTTGAAGATTTGTTGTTATTCTTGTTATTCATGATTGAACGGAGTAGAATTTCTTTGTTTGCTAGTATTGCTACAATTGTCCCAGATTATTAGGAACTTCGTATCGATGACTTCTGTCAAATCGCATGAATAATTCATATAAATTTCTTCGACTCTTGAGCACTCAAAGTCAATGGCAGTAAAATATTGATTCACATACCTTCAATTATAGCAAATATATTTATGTAGGCGAGGGTAGCTGGTTACTCATTTGATTCCGCATCCTGCCGGACGTCTTCTCAACATTGGGCATCTGAAACTCTTGGAAACTGTGTCAAGGAGTGTAGATTATTAATGTAAGGAGAATTTCTTCGTTTCTTGCTGCAGGTAACTCCGTCTTTCACCTTCCATTCTGTTTCTGTTTAGGATTTTGAGTCCTTTGAAGATTGTAAGGGCTCTCTGGATGACGTCGGGATCATGCGAAGGGGGATTCGAAAGATAGAGAAAAAATAGGAGATTTCGTGAGCTGGTTTCGTCCTAGACTTGTCTTGTGTGAGAAGAGACATAAAATC